TGCTGACATGATGAGCTTGGTAGGTAACATTGGTTGCCCTCTGCATTCCCTGTAAAAGAAGAAGTTGGTTAGGCCTTCAACTTCTGAGAGGGTGAGCTGGCAAAGCATACTACAACTTATTCACAGGCACAAAGAAAGACTGGGACACAGACCAGTGGAAGTAAAAACAATACCCAGTCCATCAGCTGCGACATAGATCAAAGGACACAAACGAAATTAGAAAAGCCACCCATAGTAAACCGCATCCCTTGCACTGCTTCTGTGAAATGGGATTGCCAGGTTAGTCAACTACTACTTTCAAATACAACTTGTTCAAGAAAAATCAACTGAAAAGCTATAAAAATATAGATAAACTGCTGAAGCTGCTAGACTTGACTTCTATTCAAGTGATTTAAATCTAAGAAGCTCAAATGGATTCTCCCTCTGAGCTAAAGGTTTCTGTCATAAAACAGCCAAACATTGGCTCATTTTTAACTCTTAGGAGGCCTTTTCATTGCAAACTATGCATGTCTGGGCCAACTTTCAGTTCAGCAGACACACCTCCGGACCACTCTGCCTTTACCTATATCTTCAGTGTCCAGAATTGAGACACTGATCATATATTCTGAGTGTTTAAAGAAAGTACTATTTCTAAGTGACTTATTAAAGAATTTACTTAAAAAGGTGGGGGTTTTGTAATACAATTTTAATTAAAACAAAGCTGGTTATAGACTTTCTTAAAACTCTTTATTCATCATAATAAGCTGCTGTACAAATATTTTAAGTAAGATGATACTGTTGTCAAACACATTTCACAATCTAAGGCGAGAGAACCCACAGGAAGATCACCCTCAGCATTCCCTTAAGCTTTAATGGTATCTAGTTATATGAACTTTGTTTATAAAAGATCAAGACCTTAGATAACCAGACAGAGCATGAACAATCAATCAGAAGAGAAGGCTTGAGGAAAAAAAAAAGTGCGGGTGGGAGGGTTTAGTGGTATATGTAATGCTGCTTTGACTTCTCTTGTTTACAAACATATTGCAAGACACTTGTGCTATCTTCTCTTTCATCATTATATCAGTGCTAACCGGAAAAGAAAGCACTTATGACATTTAATAAAAAAGAAAGAAGGAGGATATTCATCTACGGAGTACTAGCAGAGAGCTGTTCATAGTTTTAGAGAGAGAGACCACAAAGCAGGGTTAACATTAAAAATGGCATCTACCTGTGGCTTCAAGAACTGCTGCTACATCATTCTTCTGTAACACTTCAAAAGTTTACCTATAACTTAATTGGAAGTTATGAATTTGTGTGATTGTATGTCCCCACTTCTATACACAGCTGGGCTCATAGTTAATACAAACAGAAACTTAAGGTAGGAACAGATGTTCAAGTTCTTAAATATAACTCCATAATTCAGTGGTGACAGTCCAGCTTCTAAACTTAGATGAAGACTGAATACCAACCCATAAGAAACCACCACCTGCAAACAGGTTATAACCATACAAAGTGAAGTTATACTTGCTGATCGTGTCATCTCCAAATAATTTATCTCCTAAAGCAAAGCTGTTTTGCACACGCAGTCAGTGCACTAACCAAAACCAGAAGTCAGAGTCAAAAAAATCAAAAAGTCTTTTTTCTTATAGTAGAAACAATTATGCACTACATAGAATTGGAGATCTCAGTGAGCAAATGCATAAATGGTGGAATTAAAAACAACAAAAATAATTTAAGTACTTAGCCTTCAATTAAAAGATATGCTGCGCATCATGAACATACACAGCAATTCAAACTAATACATTCACAGCAACATTCTTTCTCATTAATTCCAGTTGTGCCGTATTGTACCAGGCACTGGATAAACAGAAGACAAGTCTCAAAGCACAGCTCCCATGCCACTGTCTCAGTAAGCTCTTTTACATTAAAAGATAAAAACACACATGCTTTGCTTTTGACTCCTGGCAATGAGTCTACTATCAGACTCAAGTACTTTGGAGGTCAAATGCCTCATCCAAGGAGACTTCTTCCCATCCATATTCAGTAAGTTACATCAGTTTTCTTTGTTTTCCCAAACTAGCAAAGCAGCAATGAAACAGATCGGGGTATTGCACTAGGCTTACAAAACACATGAAACCCTGAGGAAGCAGGCAAGAGGGATTCTTAAAATGATGGAAAAGACACAACTTTAAAAAAGAAAAAAACAAAAAGTATCAAGTACCAAATTAGCAGAGATGACAAACCACAGCAACGAGAAGGCCAACAGATTGCTCGAGTAGAAGGCACACAAGTGCAACAGAGCAGCCAGCAAGCTCAGCCGCGGTGAGACAATAATCCATCCGTACTTCAGAAGCAGGCATCTAAGACTAAAGGTTAAAGTGCCCCAACAGTCTGTGCATGCATTCAAAAACACACCTGTCCCCCAGCAGCCCCACCTTTTGTTTATGTGTGCATGCACACAAACAAGACAGCTCAGTACTGCTCCTGGGCAAAGTAGTAGCAAAATGCTCCTTATCTTCCAAGAGGAAACAGCTTTTTATGGAGGTGGTCTAAAGAGTTAATAATTTAGCAAGTCACTCTCTCTTGCTGCAGAAAAAGCTAGTAATGTTTCCTAATCATGTACACTTTGCTACTAGGTGATTCACTACCACCACTGAGCAACAAAAGCTGAACACTGGATCCTCAACAATGTAAGTTTTTAATTACTATCCCCGATATATACTCTTACTACAAGTATTGATGTGGCACAGAAAAATACTCAGGAGCAGAAATCAGTGGCTCACATTGGTTGTGCTCTTAAATTATTTAGCCAGTCTTCAAATCCCTGTACATTAAATTTGATGAGTATCAATTGATGAAATTAAATGGCCATCCAAATGATAGCAGAAATAAAGAAGAGTCATTTCCTTTTACACTATATCAAAACCTTGCTCACCTTGGAGATCCGTATTATCATTGTTAACAGAAATTAAACCTAAGAAAATTAGTAACAGAAAACCTCAATGTGATGAGCAAGTACTCTTTAAAAAAAAGCTATTTTAAACTTCTTAGCCTAATTACATTCACTATAATAGTCGCTACTGAAAGGACACACTAGATTTTTTGTAAAGGCACTAATGAAAAAGGGCATTAATCTCAAAGGTCTATTTATCTGCTTTCTTTACAACCATCAGAAATTTCCTCTCTGACTTGCCCACAAAAATATTTCTTCCACCCTGTGTTACACATTAAGTGCTTCCGCACTACTTACACAAACACTGCATTTTAATATTTTCCCTCCTACTCACCGTGTTAAGTAGAAATAACGCTTCAGTCCACTATGTTTCACTGTAACAGTAATGTCAGCTGAGAAGGCTGACATATCCTTCCTTTATTCTCCCCCACTATGCTAGTTTGTTTCTCACATGAAATCTGAAGTGCCATAATAGGGTGATACCTTTGTACTGAAGATAAAAAAATTGGAGTATTAAAGTAACAAGCCTTTCACAGATGTGCACTGAAGAGCTCTAATGATAAGAGAGCAAGGAAGGATGACTCCGTAGCTTACTTTTTTTGGCATAAAGGTAACCTTTTAGCTTTGCAGGTAGTTGACCGGGGAAATGAATACAGACATCTAAGAGCTATGTGAACAGAAGAAAGGAAGATGGGGACCAAAAGGGAATACTAAATCTGTCAAATTCTCTATGTAAAGATTTGCAGAGATAGACTTGAGCCATATTTTTTTTACTTATCTTATTCTTGATGTTTTGCCCAGTTGCAATGATAACTTTTCTTTGCCAAAGCCAAATCTATCAATGCCAAACACCTTTGATGTAAGAACTCAGATCAGTCATCCAGATAAAGAAGAGCAAACCCAAGTTGCAACACCAAGATCAAAAGGCAGCAGAAAGAAAAGATTATTGCTTAACTGTTTCATAGTTAACAGACAGATCGCTACACTGGCATAAACTGAATTTATTCTTCATTACTTCAGAGCAACAATGAAACACTGTGCTTCTACAGTCACTTTACATCAAATTTTAAGTTTTCACAAAGCAAGACCTCTGGGGTAGGAAGTAAAGCTTTCAATGGCAAAACTCCCCAAGCTAAAGCACCAATGTGAGACCGCTCTGAGTTTGGAAGCATCAGGAAAGAACCGTGTAAAGAACAGGCATGGTTTCTATACAAACCACATAGTCTCAAGAAGCTGTGACTAATTCCATATTCTTCTGCTCTAAGATGATGGCATTGATTCCCCAAGCTAACAACTCCCATAAGCCAACAACAGGAACACATCCAGCATCACATCTGAAATGTAGTCTTATCTTTAATGCTTTTCCCATTTCCCAATCACCGCAGATACTTTCTAGGCCACTTGCTAACTTGCTCACTGTGTGAGTGTACCATCACTTGCCACCTGCTGCAGTAACAGCATGACCAAAAGCAGTGACAGCTTATTCACCAGTGCTGCAGTGGAGCCATTGGCTGGCATCAGAGGGAACGGACAAAAACAAAGGCAGAAATGCCTCTGCCGAATATGCGCTCAGAAACGAGATGTGGAGCAAGTTCTTATTAGGCGTTACCTGCAAACTGATGCAACGCATCAGTCGTGTTAGGAATTCGAGCTACGCTAAAGAAAGTGTTCCACAAGCCCTTCTACCAACTAGTGTAATGGAAGCGTTTGCAGCTATGTTGTGTGCTGCTCTGTAACTTGGAGTTTGCCGTGGGCAGAGGTGGGCTTGGCGAGGGGATTTCCTCAGACAGAGGTGTATTTTGAAGAGTGCTGGATGCCCAGAGAAAGTTTGGAAGCCAAGGCTCTGCCTACTCTCCTAGGAGCTGTCGATTCCATTGCGGTATAATAGGTTGCTTTGACTTTGCTCTCAGCTGAACAGACGCAGAGTCAGAAGTGCCAGAACATTTGTCTGTGGAGCATGTGAATCAGCAGCACTTTTTTCCCTGGTGAAGCTTACTGGGTTATAAAGAGCATTTCAGTTGAGGTCTTCCGAAGAAAAAGGGAGAAGTGGAAGACTTCCTCTGCTTGCCACGTAACGTATACAGGGTTGCTAACCTCAACTGAACTCAGCAAAC